CTGCTGCCAGCTCTTCCCTTTCTTCCCTCTGACTGTCCTCTCCATGTCACCCATCCCCTTGCCCCTAATGCCAGGCAGACCCCTCCTCTTCTTCCATACCCATCACTGCCTCCCTGCTCGGCTGGCCCCTCCATCCCTGCAGCAGTGAGAAGCCTTAATTTCTGGTACTGTGTGAGCACTCTGGGGGTGTTCCCCTCCCCCTTCAGGGGCAGCTAGAGGATGAAGGGGGAGGGTATTTAGCACTGGGGCCTGGAGCTTTTCCCCCACTCTATACCCAATCACCCCTAAAGTTCAAATGCAAAACACTTGAAGCAGCAACTACTGTACCTGGGCCCCGATCCTGCACTCTCCCCTGGCTCCTCATATGCAAATCAAGGGCTGGTTCTGTCCCCACAGCCTGCCCCCACTCCCTTCCCATTTCTGGCCTGGCCCCCTAACCACGCACTTTAACCTTGCTTTTTTCTTTTAACTTCTTTTGGGAGAGCAGAGCCTGTGGCCATTCCCTCTCTGGCTCATTTCTCCCTCAATGTTGAGGCTTGTCATGAATTTTTAAGTAAGCATTTTATCCTTTAGGGGAAGAAACAGGTTAATTTCCTGCCCATTTCAAAACCATAGCCCTAGTATGTCCTCTGTGTTTTAGGCATGTGCTGCTTGCATGTATATGGTGGAAAGGACCGTGTCCTTCTTCCCGGCTCCCCCCATCCCAGAGTTCTCTCAGCCCCCTTTCTGCTCCCACCTTCCGTCATGTCCGCCTTGTCCAAGACCCATGTCCCACCGCCCCAGTCACTCCTGATCTGAAGCCAAAGATGGTGGGAGGGCGGGGCAGACTAGGGACCGTGGCCAAATTTTGGAAATGGGCCTCCCTTGTGTGCGGAGGAAGCTGTGATGGAGAGAGCAAGGGGTGGAGAACGGCTTGGCCCCCTGCCTTCTCAGCAGGGGATGGGATTGAGCTGGGGGCTGCACTGATAAGATTCCTGGAAGTTGCACCCCAGAAGCCAAACTGGGCCAGAGTGAGAAGGGGACAGTTTTCTCTAAATGTAGCATTGAATCTGGCCCTGGTCCCTTCAGTTGCCCTGTCCATCCGTGTCCTAGGTGAGCCTCTGTGCAGTTGGACCCGCTCCTGTAGCCCTGTGTTCCCTTCCTCATACTCAATACCTCAGCCAGGGGCCAAGACACAGAACTTGAATAGAGGTCCTGCCCCCACCACCCCAACAGTGCGTCCTTGCCCAGTTTGGCTGCCATCAGTATTGTCCCCCGAGAACTGGACAGGCTTCGTTTACACGTACAAGGGGTCTCCCCTGGGGATCCCTCAGCCTCCTCCCCCACCCAAGCTTGCTCTGTTCAAATCTTACCCATTTTTCAGTTGTGTCCCTTGAATGTCTTGCCACCCTTGCCAAGGGTGGGCTGAGGGGAGAGAGCCTATCCCAGGGATGCCTCCCTCCCCACAGATAACCTTAACCATACCTCATGCTGGTTCCCTGAAGCCTGGGGTGTTTGTCCAAGTCCTTATTTTTTTCAAAGTTCCTTTTATCCCCCATCTCTCTGTGTCTTGCTTTCCCCCAACTCTCAGATCCTAAACCATTTCAAGGCTTCCAAATGACCATTATTGGTGAGAAGGATTGTGCAGCTTTTAGTTTTTATTTTTGTTTTCGAAGCCAAAGGGCCTTGCAACGCCCCTCTTGCCCACCTCCCTTCATTCCTTGTCCTCCCCTATACGACAATCAATGTGACCTCTCTTAAGGGCTGCCGCCCCCCACCCCAACCTTGCTGGTTCTGCAAAGCTTGCCCCCTAACTTCAATTCTCTCTCCTAAAATCTTCCCATTCCACCCCCTCCCTCTCATTTTGGTGCTGGGAATTAGGTGGTAGGGGGCACGGAGAACAGGGAGATGGGTTCTCTGGGGATGACTCGGGTATCAGTCGTGTTCTCCTTTATCAATGCTTAGCGATGACAGGAAGAATCTGAGTATTTGTCAGGAGCCCCATTGTCTTGTTTTGCTAGATGAGATTTCTGGTGGCTGTCCGTTCCCTGCTGCCCCTCAGCACATTGTCAGCAGTGCTGGGGAGGTGGGGGGGTCCTCTGTCCCTCCTCATGTGGCTGTGAGGAGGCCTGGAGGGTGAGCAGCCTCCTCTCCTTATGCCAAAGGAAATCCCGCACCCCACCCTGGGCTTCCCAGCCCCTAGTGTTTTTTGAAGCATTTTGACCATTCTCATGGCCACTGCATATTTATTTTAATGTTAAGATTTTTTTTAAAACCTCTTTGACTTAAACGGGTGTGGAGAAGTAAAACAGGCAGAATGCCCCCCAATCTTAAGGGGGGAGGGGAGGGGAGGAAGCACCTCCTTCCCTTTGCCTCCCCCTCCCTTCCCCTCTCCCCACCGCAGCTCTAAAGCACTTGCTTCAAGTAATAAGCACTTTTGTGAAAAGGCCTATTTGGAGTGAGGACCCTGGGAGCAGCCCCAGGTCCCAGCAAAGAGACAGGGCGAGGGCTACATAGGAGACAGACTTGTGAATCAGAGGGCGAGATGAAAAAGAGCCAGTTTTTAGTTTCTGATATTTGGGAAGATGTTTCTGATTGGGCGGTGGCTTTGGTAGGGTTGTGTACTATACTTCAGAAAACAAATGGCACAAACTGTGGGTCCCAGGATGGACCAACAAACCCGGGTCACTGCCGCTGTCCAGCTGAGACTGATGGGCCACCTCCCCCATCCCGTGGCCCCCTGAGCCATAGGACTGCTGAAAACCACTGAATGTACAGCCCAGGTTGGGGTGGGGAGCAGCCCCTGGGGGAGAGGGCTTCTCCTTTTGTTTGGTGCTGTGGGGGTGGGAGAGATGAGTCTGAGGGACTGCCACCCCACGTAGACGTGTGTTCCTTGGGGTGGAGGGGCTGAGGAGGGCCTGCCTCCCTCTCCAAGCCCAGCCATGGCCCCTCTCCTTCCTCACCCCTATCCGTTTTGACTGTAAGTCCAGCTCACCTTTGCCTTCAATATGTACCAAAGGAAAACTCAATACTGTTTCCACCGCTGTCTGCCCACCCGAGCACCTTCTTACTCCCTGGACTTAGAAGGGGAGAAGAGGCTGGGGGTGGGGTGGGTGGGGCCAGAGCAAACGGTTCTACAACTGTACCCCCAAAACCTTCTCTGTGGTCTTGGAAGGGGTCCTGAGAGGTGGAGTGGGGCCAGGCTGGCAGGGCTGGGAGTAGGCACACTCTGCATCTTATGCACATGGCACATGAGTGTTTCCTCGTTGAAATGACTCCCGTGACAGTGCTCCAGCGGGGAGGCCCCTTCCTCCTTCCCTTTCAGCCATTCATCACCCTCTCCCCACACCCAGTGTTCATTCCCCACCTCCCCTTCCCACCGCAAAGGAAAATAGCCTTACAGACCCTAGCCCAGAAACCCTCCTCCCGGGGCAAACCAGTATGGGCCCCCATCCCACCGAGTTTGAACCCTACCTTTTAAGAAGGAGGGATAAAGGAGCAAAGCAGCCCCTTCCCCTCTAATTGTGGTGGCTCCAGCCCTCTGTGGCCTTGGCCCAGGCTGGGCAAGGGCGGAGGTGAGGAATCTTTGAGGACCAAGCCCAGTGGTCTGGGAAGAGGGAGGTAGAGAGGGACGGGTCTGACTTGGGGACTCCCTCCTGACCCAATCCCTAGAGACCCAACCCCTAGAGAAGCGACCAAATCCCAGAGATGGGAGGGAGCTGGGGTGGGGAGGGTCTGCTCTTTGAATTACTTGAAGGTACTGATTCTGAGGCTGCTGTTGCCCACATAGGTGTGAGGGGGACATGTCACTGCATTTGGGAGGGCAGAGGGTGGCGAGTGACGAGAGCATCTGCCCTCGGCCCTTGCTTACTCCTGCCAGGCCCTTTTTCTCTGGGGAGTCTGCAAGCCTGACTGCCCCAGGGAAGGTGGGGAGAGCCTTCCCTCCCATCTCCATCCTCACTCTGGGCACCCTCTCCAATTGCACTAAAGTAGCTGTTGTGCCAGTCTTACCCCACGCCAGGGTGGGGTCTCTGCTTCCAGTCCTTCCCCCACTGCCTCCGCTCCCGTCCCGGACAATCTCCTTGTTCCGCTTGTATTCCTGGATAGCTCAGCTTTGTATGTGTGTGTTTGGGGGGTGGGGGCGGGTTCTGGCTGGAGTGGGTTTGGCGGGGGTTCGGGAAGGGCTAGGGGAAAGATGAAGGATGAAGTCTCCTACTCCCTTCCTCAACTCCAAGCCACAGAAGCCTGGGAGGGAGGGTGCCTACTCTCGCTACCGTGTGTCTTGCAGATGTGCCAAAATGGGGAGGGTGGGCGGGGAGGGTGCCTGGCAGAGCAGCCCCCAGGGTGGCTCTCTCAAAGCAATACAGTTCCCCTGCCTGGGGGACGGCAAGACAGGGGAGAGGGTTGGGGTGGGGACCTGGGGGTTCCCCATGTACAGCTGTGTATATTCAGGGGTGTTCTCTGTCTGGTACCCGCTGTGAGCATCTATGTGTGTGTGAACCTCCCCTTCCCCATGCCCTGCATGACCTGTGATGCTGCAGACACCACCATCCTGTGTGCAGGTGTGTCGGGGGCACGGAGGGGCATGTTTCATGTCCTGTTGCACCCTCCACCCTGTGACCCATGTACTCGGTTGTAGGAAGTAAAGAGAACTGAGCACAATTCACTGGATTCTAGTTGAATCTTTCTCTAAGCAATTTCCCCATCCCTGCCCTTCCCTTGCCCTGGATCCACCTGTGGTGCTAGTGTTGGGGTTGGGGGTGTTTAATGCTGGTGGACAGCAATAAAGGGCAGATCTGCCCAGAGGCCTGCATCCCCGGGGTGCCGAGGGCGATAGGAAAAAGTGGGGACCTCGGTGCATTTGCCCCACCCCTCCTCTCCCTGGGCTAAAGCACAATGCTCTTCCTGAAGATTGATGCACCCTGCCCACTCCAGGCCCTTACTCATGTCCTCCCCCAACCTGCTTTGAGCCCTCCCACCACACCCTGGTTTTCTATGCTGTTTTGGTGCAAGTACAACTGTCGTAGTCATGGCTTTGGGATGGGTTCTGTTTATTAAAATCCTATTGCTCCTACTGGCCCTGTGTCCCGCCTCCATTCCTGTGGTTGGGGGGAAGGAAGGGCACTCTGGACCCCTTGCCCCTGGCCCCTGTTAGCCATCAGGGACCAAGGGCAACAGCTGCTCCTCCAGCAGGACTATGGTAAACATGAGGCTGCCCCCCAGCAGTAGCCCCAGCCCCTGCAGGAGCACATGGAGCATAGGTAGGGGCTCAGGAGGACGAAGCAGGGCTGGAAGCTGAAAGAAAAGAAGAACATTAAGATTCCGGCCTTGAGGGCCTGGGATTTAGCTTAGAGGCATACCGGCCTCTCAAGCCCAAGGTCCTGAATTCGATCCCCCTTGGGGGCGGTGTTCTGGTCTTGGCCCTGACCTCTTAACCTGAGAAGGAGTGCCAGAATCACCCCCCCCCGCCCAAATACTGTCCCTTATCAGACCGCTGGGCCTGAGGGCCAGCACCCTCCAGGACCCAGTAGTGGATGTGGAGGGGCTGATACTTCCTTCCCCTTCAGACCCAGCTCCCCACTTCCTTTGATTTCTCTGCTCTTTCCCACACCTCTCACCATGTCCACGAGGGCCACATAGAGGAAGATCCCAGCAGTGACCCCAAACACCCACGGAGTCAGGGGGACAGGGCCCAAGCTGAGCCCCACCCCCAGGCCTGCACCCCCTAGTCCCAAAGCTCCAGATAGGAGGCTCAGCAGCAGCAGCCTCCGAAAGGACAGGCCTGCCTGGAGCAGCATTGCGAAGTCACCTGTTGGGGACAGAGGATGAGATAGGAGGGAAGAAGCCCAGGGCTGCCCTTCGCCTGTGTCACCCACCAGCCTCCAAAGTTGTACCCCTTGCAGATCTCCTTTCTAGAGCCCACCCACTTGTGCCATTCCTACCCAGTTCATGGGGCAGCTCATGGCAGAAGACTGCCACAGTGGTGCTGAGGCCACTGGAGAAGCCATCGGAGAAGGCAGCACCTGCAGTCAGTGGGTGGGAGGTTCAGTCCAGGAAAGTCCTGTGTCTGCTCATCTCCCACCTCCTGGCAGCCCTCTCACCCCCAGCCGAGAACAGCCTCCCCCCACTCCTCCCTTCACACCTATGGCCAGCCCGTCAGTGAGGTTGTGCAGACCATCTCCCAGGAGGACCATCCACGTGATGTGGGCACCTCCACCACCCTGGTGCCCGTGACTGTGGCCTTGGTGCCCTGGAGCGGCTGATGTTGGTGGGGAGTGGCTGTTCTGTTCCCTCTGGCCCTGAGCCCCTGGCTCTGCAGGAAGAGCAAGGACAAATGTTGGGAGCTGCAGGTGAGGACTGTGGACCAGGAGCCTAATCCTCATTTTCTCCTCTAATCACCTGGAGCTGCCTGCAGGGGCCAAAGAGCCATTCCAGTGCTGTCTTCTGGGTCTGGGTTTGGTGTTCCAAGATCCCTTCTCTTTCGTCTGCAGCATCTCTGAAATAGGAGGGTATCCCTCCTGGTGGGGGAGGCAGCAGAGCCAAGGGCTGAGGGGAAGCCAGGCCACCAGCTGGGAAAATGAACACCTGGTCCCACCTCTGGCACCTCAGATATCCTTTGCCTCCCACCTGTTCCCAGGTCGGCACCTCCCTCTGTTTCTTGTTGACTTGAACTTGGGAGAGGAACCAGAAGTCCTGGTCTATGCTAAGGTGCCCCTACCCACTCTGTTAGAGGACAGGCCCTACACCGAACATTAGACAAACATTCAAGATGCAGGAGCACACGCTGCTCCTCAGCTCCTGGCTTGTTTAGCCAGTTCTTGGCTAGGACTCTGGTCTCAGCAAGTGGAGAGAAAAGGGTATCACTCACTGGCCTGAGCCCTCTGTGCCGAAAAAGCCCCAGGACGTTCTCCAGCATGAAGAGCAGGAAGAGGCCTCCGAGTACTGACAGCTCCGGACCCAGATCCTTCTCTAGTAGCCCGCTAGGTCCTGCATGCTGCCTTCCTTGTGCCTGACAGAGAAGAGGTCAGGGCAGACCCTAGAAGCCCTATATCTAGTGTCACCCTCTTCCCACCTGGGAGGCAGCTCTGGGCTAAAGCCAGAGGTGAGGGAGTGGAGATGGGGGCTGGCAGAAAGGGAGGGGATGCCCTATGGCTAGGGGCATGGCTAGATCCAGGGAGGCCAGCTGCCAGGCACCCCTGGGTGAGGGGTTCAAGGAAGGGGCTTCACTTACATGTGGCAGCAGGTGGAGCAGCGCATCCCCACAAAGAGTGCCCACAGCCAGGGCCCCCAGGAAGCCCAGCAGGGGCTGCAGTAGACGAGGTCCCAGGAGCCGCAGCAGTAGCAGGGAGAGGGGAGCAGGGAGGCTGAGCAACAGGACTGCCAGGGCACTATGAAGCAGGGCTGGGAGAATTAGGGCTGAAGTTAGGCCATGTTGGACTCAGAGGTGGGGCAGAGATGTGCTGCAAGGGAGGCAGGGCCCAGTGAATTCCCTTCCTTGGCTATGGTCCCCACTCCCTAGCAGGAATCCGGGTGCCCCCGCCCCACTCTCACCCACTGACCGGGTAGTAGGTTTCCTGGAGGGGCTGGGGCTGGGACTTGAGTGCAGACACGGCTGTCAATCTGGTAAAGTAGAGCCGGGCACAGCAGAGCAAACTGTCTTGGGGTCAGAGGAGCAGCGGGACTCAGGCCAAAATTGACCAGCAGCTGAGAGCCGTTTAGACACTGAGGAGTTGAGCAGAGGGTCTCACATTAGTACATCACCAGAAATTATGATGTGGATCTTTCCACCTGTCCTCCCATTCCATGGATTCCTGGGTCTCTTCCCAGGGTCCTCTTTGCTCACACTGGTAGGTGTGTCAGGGACTGGACGCAGGGTACTTGCCATCACTGTGCCTTAATTATAGTGAATATTTCAATCCAATGGAAATATCTAACAACGCAAATTGGGTTCCAGTGAACGTTGCCATCCATCTCCCTCCCAAGCCCTACTAATCTTGTTGGTTTGGTGAAGGAATTGATTGAAAAACTAGAGCCTTCCATGCCAGAGTTCTGGAAGGGGAAAGAAATACCTGAAATGCCATCTAACCTCCCTCTCAACAGCTCTGTCAGATGTTCATCCAGCTTTGGATGCTTTGTTTTGTTCTCTCTCTGTCTCTCCCCACCTCCCCTTCCCTCCCTCCTTTTCTGGTTTTTTGGGAGGGGTTGTTTAGTTTTTAAAATACAGTCTATCAGTTGCCCAGACTGGCCCCTAACTCAGATCTTCCTTCCTTCGGCTTCCTGAGTGGTTGGGACCACAGATGCACACCATGGCCCTGGGCACCAGTCTTGGCTTGAATGCTTCCAGCAATGGGGCACTCACTGGGCTCATTCAGGGTTAGGTAGTGTTGCCCATCCTCTTCTGTACATGGAAAAGTGGCCCAGGTGCAGTGACTTCCTATATCATTCAGCCATTTACACCTTGCAGGTCTCCTCTCCACATAACCATGTCCAGATCCTACCCTGGCCTGCTTCTCTGGTTCTCTGTTTTGTCAAATGTGGCCCCTAACCTGGGCTCACCTGCTCTGAACCCAAAAGGAACATCTTCCACTATTGAAAAAAATACCCTAAAGTTACACTGGGATTTTTTTTTTTGAGATTTTTTTTTTTTTTTTTTTTTTTTTTTGATACTGGGAATTGAACTCGGGTCCTCACACATGCAAGGCAGGCGGCAGAACAACTGAGCTAAATCCCCGGCCATAAAAAACTTTTTTGAGACATGGTAAGTCACTCAGTTTTCCAGGCTTATCTTTTATATGGGGTATAGTGTGGCTTTTTTTTTTTTTTTTTTTTTTTTGGCACCGGGGATTGAACTCAGGACCTGGCACTTGCAAGGCAGGTGCTGGCTCCACTGAGCTAACAAGGCAGGCGGCAGAACAACTGAGCTAAATCCCCGGCCATAAAAAACTTTTTTGAGACATGGTAAGTCACTCAGTTTTCCAGGCTTATCTTTTATATGGGGTATAGTGTGGCTTTTTTTTTTTTTTTTTTTTTTTTGGCACCGGGGATTGAACTCAGGACCTGGCACTTGCAAGGCAGGTGCTGGCTCCACTGAGCTAAATCTCTAGCCCTTGTTTTGATTTTTGAGACAGGGTCTCACTGTGTGGTTCAGACTGTCTTGAACTCACTATATAGCCCAGGCAGGCCTTACATTTGTGGCAATCCTCCTGCCTCAACCTCCGAAGTACTAGAATTATAGGCATGGGCCTGTAATGGGATTTTAAGTCGCTATGACTCTTTAAACATTTGACTCACATCTTCATTCAGGTGGTCAGCCAAAGAATGGTCTAGCAAGAGAAGCCTGTGAAAGAGGTCTAGGCCCGAGGGGGCTGGCCCCTGGGGTAGGTGGGGGGACTTTGAGTCTTCCAGGTCACCCCACCCAGAAGAACCCAGAGGCATCCCTGCCCAGACATCCACACTCAGCTCAGGGTCCTGCAGCCTGAAAGGAATGGGATAACAAGTTAGTCACTCATGCCCTCACTCACCCACCTTGAGAAATTAGTTCCCTGAGGGCTGAGAGGACAGGAGGACTGGCCACTGGCTACAGTTCCTGGAACCCAGAAACCACAGCATATCTCCCTGGAAGATCTAAGAACTGTTAGTTTATAGGAGGGCCTAGGAATGGGGGCTGTATGGTAAGGGGAAAGGCCAGAAATGCTCCAGATTGGGAGCTAAATCAGCCTGGAGACTTTGGACATTGGGACTAAGAATTTAAAGGAATTTAAAGGCCTGAGTATTTGGAGGAAGGAATTAGAAGACAGTAGAGGCAGAAAGGTTACTGAGGAGTTGGTTCTGAAGAATCTGTAATTCAGGGATCTTGTTTTAAGAAGCCGGGGGTGGGAGGGGGAGCCAGAAGCAGGCATCTGATCTAAGCACTGGACAGAGCTGGGGGGACATGGCATTTGTGGAGAGGTGAGGTCTTGGTACCTTTGTGTGAGGTTGTCTTCAGATGAGGGTGCAACTCGACCAGTTGGAGGCCCATGGTGTCCCAGGCGAATCCCCTGAACTCTACCCAGCCCCAGGCTGTGGAGAAGCCGGGCCAGGCCCCTTGCAGTCAGCGTCCCATTCTCACCATATAAGCCAAACAGCTGGGCCAGGTAATGGTTCTGCTCCTGCTCAGCAGGGCCTAGGTTGGGGACTGAGCCCCTGACCCAGCCCAATACCACCCCCACACATAGGGCAGCCAGCAGATGCCCCACCAGAGGCCCCATCATTGGGGACAGTAGGTTAGAGGCTTTGGTTCCGGCTTTTATTCCTCCTGGAACATCCTGAGGACTGGGCCCTGGAAGAATGAGGAAGAGCAGATCAGGGGCACAGCCAAGGATCAAGGGACCTTCACTTCTTCCACCTGTTCCCTCCTGAATCCAGCAGTAGCCCAGCTCGAGCCTCCTGCCTCCAACCCATTGCCTCCTCTTGTTCACCAGGCCCTGAGCACCCTCCTAATTCACAGCTGATCAAGCTGACCATCCATCCCTGGTCCCCCAGACTCAACCCCTCAACCTTGCCCCACCTCTCTATCCCCCCTCATTTCCCAGATCTTGTCCTTACTGGCAACTTGAGAGTTGTTACCTCAGGTCCCCAGCAGGCCTTGCTGTAGACATTAAAAGGTTCCTGAGTCAGGAAGGGGGAACCAAGCTAAGCTTCCAGGTACAATGGAGGCCACGTCAGAGGGCTGAGTTGGACTGGCTCCCCCTCCCAGGCCTCCTGCTTGAGGTGGGGCCAGAGGTTGGGCCAGTGTGGGAAGGTTCACAGGGGAGAGGAGTTAATGGTTCACTGGTCTTTAGGGGAGGGTCAAAGTTCTGTATGCACTGAGTCCCCAAGTGTGGAGAGGTCAGCCTCTGCCTTGAGAAAGACACATGGCTAAGAACCTGTGTGCATTTCTTTCCTCTTAAATGAAAAAAAAAATTTTTTTTGTATGGGGGATTGAACTCAGGACCCTGAGCTTACCAGGCAGGCATGGTGCTGCTGAACCAAATAACCAGCCCTCCTTTTAAATAATTTATTTCTAGCCCACTGGGCGTGGTGGTACACACCTGTAATTCCAGCACTTGGGAGGTTGAGGCAGGTGGATCAGAGTTCCATGCCAGCCTGAGCTACACAGTAAATTCAAGGACAGCCCAAACTATATGAGACCCTGTTTGAAAAAAAAAATTTAAAAAAAAATCTCTCTAGCCTTAATCCAGTTAGTGCCACTTGAACATTTTCCTGTATATACTCCTACCTACATACCTTACCTCTGGCAATGAGTTTCCTGTCTCCAACCCCATCCCCATGTTCCCTGAGAAAGTTGGACCTAGGTGTTCCCAAGCTGGGGTGAGAGGGAAAGGCAGACAAGTGGTCACCCAATTGGCATGCGCAAGGAAGAAACTATTCTTAGCAATTCTTCACTTAGGAAGCAGAAGAGCCAGTACTCTGGGACTCATGGGAATGATGACCAAGAAAGGGGAAGCCCTGCTGGAAAAGGGAAGCAACCGCTGCCCCCCCACGTCTCATCTGGTTTAGGATCAGTGGAGCAAAGTCTAATTTGGGCAGTTGGTTCAGGGGGTCGAGGCTGGCATTACCTGACAGCAGGAGACAGGAAGGACGCCCAGAGGAAAGGGGACCCAGTCTTCTTGTGGCAGGCAGGGGGGCAAGGGTCACCTGCAGGGAGGGAGCATGGGAGGGGAACTCCCTTAAAGGGGCAGCTCTGTTTGCCTAGGCTTCCTTGCCTGTAACCTACCTATCTCCTAGGGACACCACTCCTAGGGTCACTTCCTAGGGACACCATACCTTCCTAAATGCCTGCTAATCTCTTCTGTTTTCCACAAAAAGTGAGTCCAGTACAGATTGATAATATTTATTAGGAGAGATTTCAACTAGACTCTCGTATCACACACATAAGACTTAGAACTGTTTCTAAAGAGGAAGAAGGGCTGGCAGAGGGCCTTGAATCCTAGGGACAGGCAGTTTCAGCTGGACAAGTGGAGTATGGACTTGGGGTGGATGAGGCCACTGCTCACCACCCCTCCTGGGAAGTTCAGTGACTAAAATACTGCTACCCCACCCCCAATCCCAAAGCCAGCAGCCCCAGGGAAGACTGATTCTCCAGTAGACGCCTGGGTTGTGGTTGGTGGCAGGAGGGAAGGAAGAGTGTCTTGCTATCTCTTGCTGCTCCTGCGGGTTTCTTTGCCGTTACTGACAGGGTTGCTGGAGGAGCCAGGAGGGGCAGCTGGTGTGTGGTTGGGCTGGCTTCGAGTAATCCGGGTGCTGGGGGGGTGGGCAGGAGTGTGAGGGGGATGTGGGCCACCACCAGGACCTGGTGGGACACTCAGTCCATTCCCGTTCTGGTTCTCAGATGCTAGCGGTGGAAGAAAAACAGAATTAGACAGTTCAGGTATAACAAGGTCCCCATCAAGGGCCTGTCTCCAGCAGTGTAAAAAAAAAAAAAAAAAAAGTTAAAAAGTGGGAGTTTAAAAAATTTTCTTTTGAGCCAAGCGTGGTGGTGCACACCCGTAATCCCAGCACTCGGGAGGTTGAGGCAAGAGGATCACTGTGATTTCGAGGCCAGCCTGGGCTATAGTGAGTTCCAGGTCAGTCTCAACTATATAGTGAGACCCTGTCTCAAAAGACCAAAGGATCTGAGGATACTGAGGATCAAAATCAGGATCTTGTGCTTGCAAGGCAGGCAGCGGTACCACTGAGCTAAATTCCCCGGCCTTAAAAAAGTTTTTAAAAAATGATGTGTATGTATCACAGCAATATATGCACACTTTGGAAAATATAAACATAAGAAAAATCTTATTGCACTTGGTAGCCCCAAAAGATAATACGCCACAATTAATTAGTTAATTGCAGTACCAGGGATTGAGGCATAGTGACACCATAGCACAACATACATTTATTTATTTATTTATTTTTGTTTTTTTGAGACAGGTTCTCACTATGTAGTTGAGACTGCCCTGGAATTCACTATGTAGCCCAGGCTTGTCTTGAACTCAGCGATCCTCCTGCCTCAGCCTCCGGAGTGCTGGGATTACAGGCGTGTGCCACCACACCTGGCTTCAGCTATACATATTCTAAGGGCTGGCTGGAAGCAGGTGTGTAAGGTAATTTCTCTTGAGCTCCTGTAACTATGCATACCCCTATCACTGCATCCAACATAGCATATTATAATCATTATCTGTACATCTGTCTCTTGCATAGACTATAAGCCCCTAAAGGCAGGTGCTGTGCTTGATTCTTGGCACCTAGTAGGTGCTTCATAAATGTTTGTTAATTGAAGGTAGAGCCCTGCTTCTCACAAGTACCACAAACCAAATGGTGTACAGTTTGTGGATTAGTGCAAACCTTATCCTTGCTGGATCTGGGTGCTTGACCAGATTAAGACAGCTGTAGCCTGAACTGAAGAATAATGTCTTTTTTTTTTCAATTCACAGAAAATGTGACTGTGAAGAAGTCAATGTTAAATTTTTATGCCATCCATATTTATTAAACTTTTTCTAGCTGGGTGTGGTGGCGCACACCTGTAATCCTAGTACTTGGGAAGCTGAGGCAGGAGGATCACTGAATTCAAGGCCAGTCTGGGCTACATAGTGGGTTCAAGGACACCCTGAAATACATAGTGAGATGCTGTCTCAAAAAAACTAAAACAAACAGCAAAAACAAAAAAACAAAAACCTTTTTTTTTCTGTTAAATGACAAATTGCATGAAGTGGTAAATGAATTTTAGGGGCAAGGAGATTTAGATTTATGTTATTAAAAATATTTTTGTTGGGCTGGAGATTCAGTTCAGTGGTGCCACCACCTGCCTTGCAAGTGCAAGGTCCTGTTCGATATCTGGCACCAAAATAATTTTTTTTGTTGTTGTTGAGGCAGAGGATTTTAAGTTTGAACCCAGCCTGGACAATTTAGTGACTTAGTGAGACCCAGTCTCTAAAGATGGGCTGGAGATATAGTTTGGTGTGAAAGGCCTGGATTCAATCCCCATACTACAAAAAATTAATTATTTATTTAAAGTTTTTATAAAAAGGGACAGGGATACACCTCAGTGTGAAAGCCCTGGGTTCACTCCCTAGTACCTCACTGCCCTGCAAAATTGTAAATGATGGAGTCATGGTTACCTGAACATATATGAGAGTCATATTTCTTTTCTTTTTATTTTCCTTTTTGTTGTTTTTTTTTTTTTTTTTTTTTTTTTTTGGTGCTGGGGACTGAACCACTGAGCTATATCCCTAGTCATATTGGGCCAGGGATTTAGCTCAGCGGTTTGGTGGCCTGCCTTGCAAGTGCAAGGACCCGAGTTCAATCCCTGGTACCCAAAAAAAAAAAAAAAAGAGAGAGCGTCATATTTTCTTTTTTTTATTGTTTTTTCGTTTGTGTTTTTGGTACCTGGGATAAAACTCAGTACCTTGTGCTGGCGAGGCAGACAGCGGTACCACTGAGCTAAGTCCCCGGTTCAAGAGTCATATTTTCTATTGGAAACACAGACACTAACTTTTGTGGTGGAATGAAATGTTGTTAGTTTGTGGTTATATTATCAGGGTTCTCTACAGAGTCAGAAACAATAGGTAGAAGGTACACATAGTCACACATCACACATAACATTCCAGTCAGCAAGTGGCCCACACACATGATGGTGGTTCTATACAATTATAATGAAGCTGAAGAATTCCCACCTAGGGACACTATATCCATGGTAATGTAGCACAATGCATCACTGATATGTTCGTTGTGATGTCAGTGTAAGTGAGCTGCCAGTGGAATAAAAGTATAGCACATATAATTATGTACAGCACATAGTACTTGATAATAAGTGACTGTTACTGGTTTATGTATTTAATATACCATGCTTTTTATTGTTAGTTCAGAGTGTACTCTTTCTCCTTATACAGAGAAAAGAATTAACCATAAAACAGGCTCAGGCAAGTCCTTCAGGAGATATTTCAGAGAGGACACTGTTAATGAGATAACATCTCCCTGTATGTTATTGCCTTCCAGTGGGATGAGATCTGGAGATGGAAGACTGTGATGCTGATGATCCTGACCCCATGGAGGCCTAGGCTAATGTGTGTGTGTGTGTGTGTATGTGTGTGTGTGTGTGTGTGTGTCTTAGGTTTTGTTTTCTTTTTTACTTTCCTACTGGGGAATGAACTCAAGGTCTTCACAATGAGCTACATTCCCAGTCCTTTCTAATAATTGATTTTGAGGTAGAATCTTGCTAAGTTGTCCAGGCTGGCCTCAAACTTGTGATCAGCTTCCCACAGGGTTGGGTTTATAGGCTTTGGCTATACCTTGGTTTTTAACAGAAAAGTTTTTTGTTTAAAAAGGGTAAGGGGTAGGGGATTTAGCTCAGTGGTTCTGCCGCCTGCCTCGCAAGCACAAAGACCTTAGTTCTATCCCCTTAC